CACAAACCCCCTATAATTGTCATCACTGAATCTTGGTGTAATTCGAACATACTGGATGAAGAGATAAGCCTAGATAACTACACACACTTTCGGTGTGACAGGGAAGATAGAAAGGGAGGGGGTTGTCTCATGTACTTTCTGAATGCACTTACTGTATCACAGCTAGAAAATAGTACACCTAACATGCCTGAGACTCTATGGGTTAACTTACACTTAAATAACGCAATAGTATTAATTGGATGCACCTACAGAGCACCTGGCACCTTTAGTAATTACGAGACCCAACTTATTAATACTCTGGAGCAATTATCCACCTTACAATACGATCGTAAGATCCTATGTGGAGACTTCAACTTACCTGAAATCAACTGGGATATACCCACAGGCTCGACCAAATTAGATAAGTTCTTAAGCACACTGGATATACTTGGCCGGAAACAAACTGACACTACCCCTACACGAGGTAATAGAGTACTAGACTTAATCTTCTGCCACAATATAAGTCCCCTATCAACCCCAGCAGTTTCTGAGTTTCCAGGGAGCGACCACAAAACAGTGCTTTGTGCACTGCCACTTCCACCAAGTAGCAATGCAGCTCATGCCCCTACTTCACAACAAATAACATACAGGAACTACAGTAAGGCAGACTGGACTCTAGTGAAATCAATGTTAAGATCCTCAGAATGGAGAGAGTACTTCTATACTGATAACCTCTCGAAAGCTCTAGACATCTTTTACTATAACTCAAACACATGCTTAGACGCTGTCATCCCAATGCAAACAATAAAAGTCTCAAAATTTAAGAAGCAATTTATTCAACCAAAAGATCGCTCAAAACTGAAGAGACTGTCAACAAGTTACTTCAGACGACACGACTTTAGTACACTAGGGTCAATACTTAGTACTCTTAGCTCCATCTCGCAGGCTCATAACTTGAGTATGAGAAATGAAGAATGCATCGCACTAGCCAGCACCACCAGAGTAGGTGCTCTCACAGAAATCCTAAAGAAACGAATGAATCGTCAAAGCCATAAAATTTCTCTTATTATAAACAAGGGCAAACTATACAGCAACCATGCAGACATGTGTGAACTGTTTAACGAGGCATTTGCAGCTAACTATCTTAAGCCCATAAGCCCACTTCTTGGTTTACAATCTACAGTGGAACTCCCTTCTTCCTCAACGCTGAAACAAACCAGTACAGTTCATTTCACTTATTCTAATATTAACCATGCCATTAAAACTCTAGTAGTGTTGGTATTGACGGCATACCATCGTATTTTTATAAACACGATGTTTCTGAAATTTCCTCTTTATTACTTAAGATCTTTACAATTTCCCTAGAAAGCCAAACCTATCCAGATAAATGGAAAACCACATTTATAGTACCCAAACACAAATCCGGATCGAAAACTGAAGTCAACAACTATAGGCCAATCAATATTACACCCATAGCATCTAGAATTATTGAAAGAATAGTTAGAGGCGATATTCTCAAACGTATGCTCCGCTGCAATATTCTAAGTCCCAACCAACATGGATTCCTAAAATCCAGATCATGCATGACATGTCACCTTGACTTCTTTAACTATATAACCAGTAGCCGAGACAAACAACAACTAGTATTAGTCATTTACTTCGACATCTCCAAAGCCTTTGACCGCGTTGACCATTTGCTTCTAATCAATAAGCTGAACTCCTTAGGAATACGTAACCCATTATTAGGATGGCTTGAATCATTCCTCAACAATAGGTCCCAAGTAGTTAGACTGGGGTCTGTAAACTCTAAACCTAGTCCAGTCACTTCTGGAGTAGTTCAAGGTAGCGTCTTAGGCCCCCTCCTATTCACTCTATATGTCAACGACATATGCAGCTGTTTCTCACTTGGCAAACCATTCATCTTCGCAGATGATCTTAAAGTAGCTTACACATTCCACTGTGATGACTTAGGGTACTTTCAGAAAGCTGTTCAGGAAGAACTAGATAGAGTAACTGCATGGTCCTCCACATGGAACCTAAAATTCAACCTTAAAAAATGTGGTTGGATCTGTTTCGGTGCACCCTCAATAAATATCAAACTGGTACTTGAATCTATTGACTTGCCTAAACTCCAAAGTGTTGTTGACCTAGGACTCAGGTACTCTAGTGACCTGACATTTTCTGAGCAAGTGGCAACGCAGACGCGTAAATCGAGGATGCTCTTAGGATGCATACTCAGGAATTTCCACAACTACGAAGCGAAACTATTATTATATAAAACTTGTGTCAGACCACTACTAGAATATTGTCCATTTATTCTCAGCAGCACTCTCGTAAGTGACAGGCTTAAAATAGAAATTGTCCAACGATACTTCACGTCTAAACTTGTAGGATTTGACTGCAAAAAGGACTACACATCAAGGTGTATAATCCTAGGTATCGACCCACTCTGGATGAGACGACTGAGCATTAATCTAACATTCTTCTTTAAAGTCTTGCATAAAATATCATTCTCAGACAGCAAGGAGATACAGTTCTCACCGGAAGGCTCCTACAATCAGCGTAACCAAACGTGCACAGTATCTAGGAAAAACTGTAAGACAGCACTCCGTGCAAACTTCTTCATAGTCATGTATTCTAAGATCTGGAACAGTTTACCCCTAGAAATAAGGACCTGTCACTCTATTATAAGCTTTAAACGCTTCCTATATAAACTGTTTCATCCCAATGACTATGCCAATCAGACCGCACCCCTTATTTCTAAAACGCATCAGATATTAGAACACTATAACGCCTAGACTCATTACTAAATATTATGACACTAAATAAACTCTAAGACTTGGCAAAAATACATGAAAAACAACTAGAATATAGGTAATGTTTGCTATACACTGTAATACAATTTATTGAAACGTTTATATATGCAGAAAACATTAATGTTCTTTTGATGTTCACATACTTTCTCCTTCTGGTATTCTGCTGCTGAGCCTACTCTTCTATTTACCTTCTGGTCGAGGTCGAACAACCCCATATTTAAACTGAAATGAATCTGGACTCCAGACCATTTAACTCATAACCACTCAAATTCCATGAACAATCCCATGCTACCACTTGAAGACGCTGGCAAACATTCTGTACAAGGAGTATTCATGATCTGAAATAAACAAGCAACTGGTTTTCAAACAGTTTTCAATGTATTACTCAACTTACGTGTACAGTCTGTCATGCTGACACAAATGGCGCCAATGGATAGTTCTGGAATCGACCTCGGCCCCATTCCATGCAGTAAACCAATCCAACATGACCTAATTTAGTTTTCGTATCCACGATCAAATTTCTTTCCTATTATAAAATTACGATTAGACTGCTGAAAAAAATGGAATAAATATATCAATGATCTCAACATAATGCATCAATGAACATTAAGCCAAGGATGCTGTTCACAACAAAGTTATATAGGAGAATTGACTTCAAGCTTTATTTTTCCCAGATATTTGTATTACATTCATCTGATGTCTGGGTTTTTTGTTAATGCGAAGACAATATTTCTATATCTCTATATGTGTTACACAAACAGACTATTTTGCAGACTGTTCCGACAGACTCTAATGTCAGAAAGAACAACCAAACTGTAAATTCAGCATACATCGAAATATGTGTCATTTATATAATAACTTATCCATGCCTGTAAAATTGGTATGTTCCTGCATAAACAGGAATAAATATATTATTACATAACTGATGCGTGGGTGTTCAGGACGGACAGGGATGATAACGAAGGAGGCGTGGTTGTCATATACTTCAGCAAATAATTACAACTTACACAATGCAATGGATCCACGCACATAAGACTGCCAGACTCTACTCTGTATCATGTCATAATCGGATAAGTCAAGTGTCTATTGTGCGCCATCCAACAGCCACCTCCATCCAGCAACTCTTTTAACGCCACATCAATACCCTCGAACTAGGGGCGAGGAATGCTCAAGGCATTCTAAGGCGAAATCCAGTACGCAAAATCAGAGGGATTCGGATGGTTGAGAAGGTAGGAGACAAGAGTTGGTGGGCCTCAGTGGAAAGTCGTGAAAACTGGATTATTTGCTGATGTCTTCGTGGGGTTGAATGATGAGTGACGAGACGAGTGATGGTTCCCCGTAGTAAATCATTCTATGAAATACCACGAGTGACCAGAATCACTCAAACAGAGGTATCTTGTCATTCAGTCATTACTGGGCTTTCTCGAACCAGCCCACGGTGGATAGAGCATCAGATGCTGAAGATTCGAGTGCGCTTCAATTTCAGTTTTCTCCTAGGTCATCGTACGTGTGGCTATGGTCAATGCGGCATTCGTGGGAGGCTTTAAGCGGAGGTTGGATAATCACCTAGTGAGATAATAACTGCATCTGAATGGTCTATCCCCTAATACTCACATACCGCATTGTTAGTGGGTGCACTTCTCAACTCTCCTTGTTATTTCACAGTCGTTTCTCTGCGTTTATTCTGAATTAATAAATTCCATTAGCTATCCGTTTGTGCATTTTCTGTTGAAAGTCTACATAGCCTACACTGATTATATCTACTGTTGCTCCTACTATTTTTATATCAATTTCTGATCACCCTGGACGACCACAGGGGGGAAACGATCAACGAGCTTCCTGGCAGTAACATGGTCTCAACACATCGCATAATATAAACTACACATAACCAATGCCCACACCATTCACCTTGGAGTCAACCAAAGCTACGCCAGTCGAGTGATGGGACAGACTAAGCACAAGTCTACCAAATATCAGGATATTTTGCTACCTAGCGAAGAAGTGGGGACAATGAAATCAAATTGGATTACACTAGCTCTTCAAAGAGATATTGGAAATTGGTAGCTTGTTTAGTCAGATCATCGGGCGCCGAATCACGTCGAACAGGTGTAGTGCGGTGACTACTGTTACTGTTGGTTTTGGTGTTACCATTACCACTACTACTGCTACTGCTACTGCTTGTGCTGCTCATACGTACTTGGCAGGATGTCGGGCAGGTTAGCTTGTGTGTCTTTCATTTGATTGTTGCGAGAATGTCTGTGTGAGTATGGGATTTGACGTTAACGACAATTGTGTGTGGTTCTGCATGCTGTCGAGTAATTGTCGACCCTGCCTACTCTTAATGGCTATTTGATGGGTTAAAGGACCTTTTTTTACAGTGAATGTCGTCTTGAAAGTGAATGCATGTTGTCATTGATGCAAGAGGTGTGTGTTGCCTGATGTAGAGATGACGCGTGAGTGCCATAATGCGACTGTCGTCAGCAGATAACATTTCTGGTGTAATAGTGAGGATTATTATTGTTGTTGTTGTTGTGTGTGTCTGTGTGTGAGAGAAAGAAGGTGGATATACTGGCGTTAACGGCAGGGAGTTATTTCCCAGTAATGTGAGGCTGTTAGAGACGATAGTTGGTGAAGTGAGCTTACTTCGCGGTAGATTTGCGTGTTGAGGTTGTTGCTGAGTGTAAATTATGTTGTATGCCTGATTGTTTATGACAGTCGTTGAAGCACTAGGTTATTCTGTTGTGTTTTGTAGAGGCTTTTACGGACCACCTCGTGGACGTGGAGGATATGATGGTCGTGGAGGTCCTCGCGGACCGGATGGACGTCGTGGGTGTGGGTGAGTCTGGATTTCTTATCATGACTTTCCACGATTGTGAGATTCCATGATATTGTGATGCATATTTTAGTTTGGGAATAGACGACGAGTTGGTGGAAAGCTGAGGTGCAGGATATCATTTTTGGCTAAGACATCACTCATATGACTTGGCACTGTGTTTCTAGAAGCATTAGAGGTAAGATAAGCTACCTAGTGAGTCATGACTATTGATGTCATCTGAGTTTCGGTGAAACAAGTTTGATGCAGTAGAGTGAAGCTTGACAGATAGGTGGAGTAGTTTGTTTCTACAGCGAAAAGTTGATGCATTAGATGAGAATAGGTGAAACTGAGGGCTAGCTAGTTGTAGTTGTTGTCACTCCGACACCTGACTTCATATTAATTTGTCTCACATTGAGTGATGTTTAACTGATGAGTTTTGATTTTCAATTTCAGCTTCGATGAACGAGAGTTGTACGGGTGAGTTGGCGTAACGAGTTTGTGTCTGTTGTGCTGTGATACGTGTTGTGTAGTCTGTCCTTATCGTGCATGTTACTTTGCGAAACATTTGTTCTCGTTTTGTTTTAGTCCGCCCCCGAGTTGTCAAGGTGGAAGAGGTCGTGGTGGACCACGAGGTGAAAGAGGATATGGGTAAGTTGGCAGGTTTTTCCCTCACGTAGTTTTTGGTCTGTTTTTGGAGTACGTTGGATGCGTATGATTCATTAGGAAGAAAGTGGCCGATTGAGAGGGTATTGACTCGCTTGTGCTTGTGTAATGGTGGATATGTGCTGTGTTGTGTGCACCTGTCACTAGACGTGAGTGATTGCAATCCAGTGTGTTGTAGAAACCAATGTGGATTCTCCGGAAGTGGTTTTCTCTGCATAGAGGTTGGAAGCTTTTCGGATCTGGTGTAGTGAAGTTTGTACCTAGTTAATAGTCTGATGTGGATGATTGGGTTTCCTGTTTGGTGAGAGATGTGTTACTTTATTGTGATTGTATGTTCATGGGGTTACTCGGATTTCCGGAACGTGAAGCGCACGAATAATCGAAGGCTGCTTTAATGGGAAGCAATCGTGCCACTTAGTGAATCAGATTAGTGTGTATGTTGTATGATATTGTGGTTGGACACCGTTCAGAAGAGCTTTAGTTGCGGCCTTTCTCGAGGAGGTGATTTTCGACAGTGTGAAGAAGCAGTTTTATATGATTTTGTCACCGTTTTCATTGTGTTGGAAGTTAAAAGTGTTGTTTCTCTTGCAGATCTTCACAACCTACTGAGTATCCATCATTTCAACGTAACCCGTCAACAGATCGGTAAGTGTATATATGTCTTTGTCTAACTGTTGTTTGTGTTGAACCGTGTACACACGATTGAGTGAGTGGCAGTCATCATTGGATTGAGTTTTGATATTTGAATACGAGTTAGCGTAGACGTGACTGACTATGAGTTGATCTTGTGATGTGAAGGTTTCACCTCTGACCGAATCTGTTAGGCAGGAATATATGAGAGTGTGGTATTAACGTTGACAGTGTTTCTATTGTGAAAGCTACTAGATGAATTAAGAAATAGCCCTGTATATGTGTATTGTGTTTCATGCTTCAGGTCACGTGTTGGTGATGTTCCAGGGGTGTGGAAGAAGCCTGCATGGAGCGCGCATGTACCTTGTGAACGTGGTGACATAGCATCGTCATTACGACTGGAAAACGAGGCTACCTTGGAAGCTGCTCGCCAAAAGAAAAGCCAGTGTATGAAGAAAGCTGTGTGAGTAGTATCCGCCGTTTTGTCTTTCTAGATTCCACAAGATGTGTTTTGTGTTGCTGCTGCCTAACTGTCTAATTTTGTTTTGATTGTTTCAGGTGTGACGTGTCTTGTGAGCTTTCAAAGTAAGTTGAAATGGAATAAAGTGTAAGAGTAGTGATTGGCCTCATTGCTTCCTTTGATTGATAACGTTGGCGAATGAATTTCTTTACTTCAGACTAAGCATGCAGAGGCCAGTGGGAATTCCAAACAGACCAGATGAAGGTGGCACAGTCGGGAGAACAGTGAGAGTTACTTCAAATTGTTGGGACCTTGCTTTCCATCATAAGACGGTATACTTGTACTTTGTTGAGGCGATCTCAGTATACCGCCTGGACTCAAAGGAGGGCAGTAAGACGGAGATAAGAATGCCACCGAGAGAGTTACGATCTCTGACACAACAAGTAGCTAGCTCGTAAGTGCAGTTATGCTTTCATCTTGAAATACGTTGTTTACATATGTGTTAAAACTTTGTGTTGTATTTGTGTTATTGAGGTGAGTTGTTTGCTTGACTTTTTGTAGTGTGTGATTGCTATCATTATAATGTGCTTGTCAAGGAGAGATTGGTACAGGTTTGGGATGAGTTGTTGTTTCATGTCCTACGTGATTGACTGAATAATGACTTTCGCGAATATCAGATGCGTTTATGAAAAGATGGTAGAGTCGTTCGGTATGGCTTGAGTTGACACTAATCGTGTCTGTTGATGAGTCTGATGCTAATGAAATTTGCTTGTATGGTTTGCTTTTACAGCTTTCCAGATACGGTGGTATATGATGGAGGGCACGCAATATACTCTGAAGACCCGTTAACGGGTGTTACAACGGACCCTGTGGAGAAGGAGATGGAGATCGAAGACCCGCTTGGTCGTGATCGCCTTCTCCTAAAGTATCGTATTATGGAAGTACAGCGAGTGTCTACTTCTGATGTTGATCATTTTATAAAGAATCCGAAGGCGACTTCGATGAATATGCCCCAGGTGAGACGAGATTAGATTTGTTGTTTGACACTTGGTTGTAGGAGTCCATCAGGCTACTGGATTGTATTCTGAAAACAGTCTCTAGAAAGTCGTTCGTTTCTGTTGGACGTTCAGCCCTGTTCGAGGCGAAACCGATTAGAGTTGTCGCGGATAAACTCTTCAGCATCCATAAAGGTTTTATTAGTAGTGTGCGACCTCAGTGGAAGGTCCGTGTAAACTTGGATATGGTAAGTGATGATATTGCTTGTTTTGACTGACACACTATGACAGACGTGCAAGGCGTACTTTACGTCTGGGAATTTGGCGGACGTGATGTACGCAAAGTATGGCGATGGGATGTCTCGGTGCAGTGGAGAAATGGCCCGTGACTTGAGAAGAATCAGAGTGGAGAGTGAGAAGTTTTACAGGAGCGACAGTGGTATGCGTGTATATGTATATTTTACTCTGTTATACCTATACGTGACGCCTTCCAGGTAGGATGTATTCGCGACGGTTCACTGTGCACGGGATGTCGTCACTACCAGCTGATCGTCTAATGATTGAGGAGGTGAATGAGACGGTGGCAGAATATTTTAAGAGGCAACATCATATCACACTGAAGTATCCAGAGCTGCCTTGTGTGAAGGTAGGTGATTTGTGATTTGATTGATGATGATATTTTATTTTGTTAGGTTGATCAGAAGCGGGAGGTGTATATGCCTATGGAGTTGTTGAACATACTACCGTATCAAGCTCCTAATGCGAGTAAAGCGGATGTTGCTAGCGAAGTGATCCGGTGTTCGGCAGTTCGACCGCAGGAACGTTTCCAAGAGCTGCAAAACTTTGCTAACAATATGCTGAAGTAAGATGATGTTATTTCCGCGTTGTTGATGATGCACTACGACTGAGTACTGACGACGTGGTGATGTTGCTTACTCATGATGCAAGAGGCGGAGAGAAGTTGAGGAGAAGGAGGAGGAGCATGTTGAATGAATGCTCGTTAGGTGATTTCCACTGTCAGCAGCTAACTTAGTTAGCTTTCTCAACACTGGAAACTGATTTCCATCTGCACACAGGGATACGGTGGAAACTAAGGATGAGAATGGAAGCATGATATTAGACGAGTTGTTTGGTTCGAGGTGTCTGATATCCGTTGTGTTAGCTGAAATTGTAAACGTGGAGAAACATGAGTTGAGTAGAATAGCCCTCCTTGAAATAAGATTTAGCCAGTGAGTTTTGTAGGTGCAGAAGCAGGCAGCCGAGGCTTTGTCGTACATCTGAAATTGTTAGGAAGGGGGAACATTTCATCGGTAATTTGTGTCAATCTCTAGGTAGTGATTACTCGTCACAGAACATGTAATTCGCCACACGGAGACATGAGAATTAGAGTCGTGTTTGTTAACCGTGTGATGCTAGTGAAGAGGTGTTGATTGTGGACTAAGTATGCCTAGATGGAGATAATAGTGTATGTAGGTGATGTTATTTGAGAGCCCGGTATTATATTTCACTTTTATGTCTTTATTGTTTGTGATAATGAGGGTTTCTGTTGACTGGCATGACAACACTTGTTTCATTGTTTCTATCCAGGTCACACCCACTGATCGAACAATTTGGTTTGGCGATCGAGCCGAGGCCAGTGGAAGTGAAGGCACGTGTTCTGCAGCCGCCAAGTGCTAAATTTGGTCGTTCCGGTGTGCAACCGCTAAAGGCAGGTAGCTGGATTTCACCTGACTTTCATGAGCCAGCTGGCAAGGGAGTGGAGCTGATGTGGGCCATACTTTGTGTTCCACCTAATCAGGTATGTTGTTCACTCGAGTTGTGTACAAAAGACGGTGGCGATGACGACGACGACGATGAGTGATTAGTGTAGTGTAGTGTAAGGAGGAAGATGTGTTCTGCCATCACTTGAGCATTGAATTCACATTCTAGATGCAGTGATTTGTGAATCAGAGTTAGCTTGACAATATGGAGGCGTGTTGTTTGATGACAGGCACGTCACTTCGTTGTTCACAGCACCGGGCGTCTGCGTGATATCATCCGTGTTGATGTGTCAGTGTTTAATGGTGTGTATAGAATGCTGGATTTCCACTTTCCTGTTAGTCAAATAGGTGAAGTATTTTCGAAAAACTGACTGTCCACTTGATTGTGATGCGTGTTGTTGAGAGGCAGATGTTGTTATTGTTATTATTATTATTGTTATCAGCCAAGTGAAACGCTTGTACTAAGTGCCTATTTCGCCTACTATGTTTTCTTTGTAGCGGTCTCAGAGTCACATACAAAAGGTGATGTCAGAAATGCCTAGAGCAGGAAGTCGCTTTGGGGTTCGTCTAAGCCCTCGACCTATTGTGGCACAGTGTCCTACAGGAGAACTTGGCAGAAAGTTTGAAGATTTCAGTAGACAAGGCTGTTCGTTTGTGCTTCTAATCTTGTACGACGAGCGGAACTACTCGGCAGTTAAACGCCTGAGTGACCTGCAAATGGGTATCCGTACACAGTGTGTACTTGGTCGTACTCTGGAGAAGGCGAACGTTTGCCGTAAGTGCTTGCTACTACTGTTTACGTGTGACGTTTGTTTTCTGTTTGTGTATTTCGACAAGCTTAACTTTAACTAATGGGATTAATTTGTGCTTTGTTCAGCGAACCTGTTACTAAAGCTGAATGGGAAATTGGGTGGTGTGAACTGGCAGATCCCCGACCTGATTAAGAACAGTGGTGAGTTGCTGATGGTGTTTGGGGCGGACGTGACCCATCCGGCGCCGACACAAACTCATGGTGAAATTCGGAAGTCGGTGGCTGCTGTTATTGGTAGTGTATCACCAGATCTAATGAGGTACGCTGTGGTGATCCGCCAACAGGCGACGACAGAAAAGGGGAATAAGGGAGCGAGAGAAATAATCGACGACATGCGTGTTATTGTGAAGGAGTTGCTTGAGGTTAGTTTTCATTGTGGGCCAACTGTGAAGTGATTGATGTTGCTGGTGTTGTTGTTGTTGTTGTTGGAGCACGCTTCTGTTGTTGCTTGTTTATGTTGTTTTGCAGGTATACTTGCGAAATACGAACGGTCGTTTCCCAACGCGTATCATATTCTATCGTGATGGCGTCTCGGAAGGCCAGTTCGAGAATGTGTTGGTGGAGGAGTTGGCGGCGATTCAGAGAGCTTGTGCAGACATTCGTCCTGGTGAAGAACCCGCGATCACGTATATTGTTGTGCAGAAGCGTCACCACATTCGGTTTCGACCGAGCGAGCCTAGGTAAGTGGGAGGTGTTTACACACATGATGTTTTGTGTGGAGCCACTGTATCTTTGTTGTTGTTGTTGTCCTTGCTCACGTGTGTGAGGGCGTTCGTGTTAAGAATAACGATTTGTTGTTTCGATTGTTTTTGTAGGGCGAGAAACGTGGAGCCAGGGACGGTGGTTGATACAGACATCACACATCCCAGGGAATTCGATTTCTACTTGTGCTCACAAGAAGGGATTCAGGTAAATTGTTGTTGTTAGCCGATGAATATGATTGCGTATTTTGTAGGGCACTTCGAAACCTGCTCACTATCACGTTTTGTATGATGACAGTGACTGGACGTCGGACGGTTTGCAGTTGTTCACCTACCACCTATGCTATGCGTATATGAGGTGTTCACGTAGTGTCTCGTATCCAGCGCCAACTTATTATTCTCACTTGGCTGCATTTCGTGCTCGTGAATGGTTATCGGACGTGGAGAAGCCAGAGATTCTGTTGGACGGTGGTCGTTTTAAAGTTCACAGCAGCCAAGTTGACGGGATGTTTTACTTGTGAGGAGATATTTTATTTTTATATAAATTGCACTTTATTTTGATCCTTGTTGTTTGGCTTTTCGATTTAATTGAGCGCAGTTTGTTGAAGAGATAGTTAATTGTTAGGGTGCGATCACGGTCACGGAGTAGCATATAGGTGACGGTAATGGTGCGATGATACTGGTGAAGACGCGTGCACACCTGACAATTCGATTATTGATTCTAGGATATTGTCTGTATGGGACGTGTGACGATGTGACTGTTCGGATTGTAGTTTTGACTTCTACGTGCGTGATTTGTCTGCTAGTGATGTGATGATGTGGTGTGAGCACGTGGGATTCGAGCGGGTATGTGTGTGTGTGT